CCCCAGCAGCCCACGAGCGCGGCGACATTTTCGCAGTTGGCAGCCCCCAGGGATGGTGAGGTCGAATCTGAATCTGTCTATGACGTCACTATGCTCGACCCCGCAGCATCCTCCAAAAGTGGCGTCAGCTTCACAGATCGCAGCACCCCCAGGGATGGTGAGGTCTACTCTGAATCTGCGTAGTCGTCACTTCGCTGGACCTCCCAGCAGCCTCGGAACGTGGCGACATTTTCGCACTTCGCGGCCCCCCAAGCATGGCCAGATCACCTAGGACTGCCAGGCAGGATGCAGGCTGGCAGGCAGGAGGGAGCGAGTTAAGAGGCAGGAAAGGAAGAGGAGAAGGGGTGGGAGGCGGGTGCTACGTGGGGACAAACCGCGACGGGCGGTCATGTGGCATCTCGGCATCCGAAGCCCTCAATGGGCTCCAGGACCATCAACATTGATATTATTAATAGTATACGTATTAGTATTAGTATTAGTATTAGTATTAGTATTAGTATTAGTATTAGTATTAGTATTAGTATTAGTATTAGTATTAACACTAGCATTAGCTTTAGTATTAGTGTTAGTATTAGCGTGAGTATTCGTGTTAGTATTACTAGTACGATTAATATTAGTATTCGTCTTGCAATGGTTCGACGGAAAACTTATGCTGGGGAAGGGATCTAGGCGTATGAGGCAGAAGCTTGACGCACGAAGCCTGCGCTAAAAATGTGAGGCGCATGCACTGCTGCACGCGCGGCCAAAGTGCAAAAGTAACCAGCAACGAATCAATCAGAAGTGGCCTGCTCGGTGCGCCCGGTAGACAACATCCCTACCATGTCGGAGGCACTCATTCTGCGAACTGGCTCGGGCTTCAAAACCGCCTCTAAGCACGCCAGTGTTACGCAGTCGAGTGGATTACCCATCTTCGTCATCGCCTCGGTGTGGCAACCTGCATGGGAGAAAAATTCAAGTACTTGCCGCGCGGCGTAAGAGAGGGGCTCGCCACGGCGCCACTGGACCGACAACTTGAGCGAACCCTGCCCGCAAGCGGTCTCCAAGAGCAGCACCCCAAGACTCCAACAATCCGCTGGCTTAGGCAAGTACGGCTCGTTCAGCGCCGCCTCTGGAGCCACGCACGGCAGAGATCCGCACCAGGTTTCCCTTGCGCTGGAGTTTGGCACGTGAGCTGCCATGTTGAAATCCACAAGGCGGCAGATGTGCCGATTCTGTGATGTCTCTACAGCCACGTGTTTCAAAGACACTTGCCCATGGACGACATCCTGGGCGTGGCAGTAGGACAGAGCACTGGCGATCTGGGTACTGCAATCCAAGGCTTCGTCCTTGGACAAGCGGTACCCAGGTTGAGTCAACAACACCTGCTCCATGCACACGTCTCCACCATACTGGAGAACCAACTGCACACTACACTGGCTGTGCAACATGCCTACGCAACGGATGATGTGTGGGTGGTCGAGGGTGTGCCTCAAGAAACATAATTCCTGGTATATGCTCTCCACCTCCTTGGCATCGGTGACGCTGCGCTTGTCGTACTCTTTGATCACTACGTATTCATGCTGCCCGTTCACCGCCAACGACACGTGCTGGTGATCCGAATACAGGCGTACGAGCTGGAAATCCCCAACCCGATTCCCACATTCCATGAGACGCTCGTCCAAAGGAAAAAAAGAAAAAAAAAAAAAATTAAAAAAAAAAGAAAAAAATAAAAAAAAAAAGAAAAAAAAACAAAAGAAAAAAAAATAAAAAAAAAAAAAAAAAAAAAAAAAAAAAAAAAACAAAAACAAAAAAAAAAAAAAAAAAAAAAAAAAAAAAAAAAAAAAAAAAAAAAAAAAAAAAAAAAAAATAAAAAAAAAAAAAAAAAAAAGGGCGCGAAATCGGGCATTTAAAACAAAAAAAAACACCAACAAAAAAAAAACATTTTTCCCGCAACGCGTGCCACCCAAATTCCAGAGCAAATTACGGAACTCGTCCTCGATGTCTTTGAGCTACATGGCAGAGGGCACACCCTGGTTCAGAGTGCTGATATGTGCCCGCACGCGCAGCTGGATGGCGGCTTTCTCTTGGAGCTCCAAACTTAACCTATGTTGCAGCACCCCCGGGTCACCTGCCAGCTCCATCAGCACGCCATCCGCCCCAAAGCTGTAGAGCTCGTCATGCCGCACCATCAATTTACTAAGGTAGGCCTTGGTCAGCTCGGGATCCAACCGGTCTGGAAGCTGTACCAGGAAGACGACCACGTCGGGATGAGCCACCCCAAGATGGTCCAGAAGACATACCACGCGTCTCTTCTCCTTCTTGTTCCTGTATACGGATACGATCAACACGGCCTCGTGCTGTTCCACTATCTGGGCGATGCTCTCCAACCTCAACTCTCCACAATCTGCGCAAGATGCCAACACGTTGGCCGGCTTCTCCTGCGAGCTCCAAGGCACCAAGGTCAAAAAGCCAAATTCCGGCGTGCTTGGTGCGACGCTGATGAGATATTCCTCCACGACCCTCTGGATCGAACTGAGTGTTGCCATGATGTATAAGCAATGCGACTGGCAATCAGGACATTTGTTGAAGCGGCACCTGCAGCCAAATTGCTTCTGCCACCAAAGTTGCGGAGGGGGGAGGAGGGAGGGGTCATCAGGGATGAGGGAAGTCGAAGGCTCATGGCGTAAACATCACGGCAACGTGCAGATAACCACAATCTCGCCATAGTAAGGCTGTCATGTAGATAGGAAATGTGAACATAGGGTCAACACCATGAACTAATGATAACCTCGGGGGCGTGGGGGGGGAAGTCCCTGGCAGGACGTGCACATACAACATCGCATGAACATTCAGGGACCACATGATGCAATGAACTGAACCTACAGTTCAGCATCATCCGAATCACAATGCACGGGTAACTGAAACAACCAAGACAGAACTCGCGACGAACGCAAGGACACCTTCAGCTGAAATGGAGATTTGGCCCTAATGGTGACCTGGACACTACAACATCACACCAGGTAATAAACGCCACGTAGATAATCAACGTACTGCTTTCGCGTAGTGTGTGAAACAGTGCGTGGACAATATATGTAGCAGTGGTGCTTGCAATCTGTTGTGTGTACGTAATCTTGTTTTACGAAGGCGTGGCTTCTTTCCCTACCTAGGCTCTGCCTAGAAAGGTTCTTACTCTCTGGGCTTAACGGGCCGGGCAGTGTAAAAAGCCCCGGTTGGTTCCCCCAGGATCCGCCCCGCGGTTCCCCCAGTTGCGTCCCCTTAGCTTAGCGTTGCTTATCTCATCTTAGCTTAGCTTATTTCATCTTAGCTTAGCTTAGCTTCATCTTAGCTCAGGTTGATCTTAGCTTAGCGAACCTTCATCTTAGCTTCGCCGAGCTTTAGAATAGCAGAGCACAGCATAGCATAGCAGAGCGTAGCATAGCATAGCGCAGCACAGCATATCATAGCATAGCCCAGCATAGCATAGCATAGCGCAGCATAGCATAGCATAGCATAGCAGAGCGCAGCACAGCACAGCACAGCATAGCACAGCGCAGCATAGCATAGCATAGCAGAGCATATCGCAACTTAGCATAACATCGCATAGCTTAGCATAGCACAGCGCAGCAAGATATAGCATAGCATAGCGCAGCACGGCATAGCATAGCATAGCGCAGCATAGCATGGCATGGCATAGCATAGCATAGTATAGCATAGCAACTAATGCTGCTTTCCTAGGGGCTCCAACTTCTAGGTAGGGTCGCACTGGGGTGTGTGTCTTTCTACATTCATGTTTGCTGTTGCGCGGAGCAGTACAGTGCTGTTCGATTAATGTATGCGCATTGGAATGCCATAGTATGCCACGATTTGTCAGGATATGCAATGCCATGGTTACGTCGTGACGTGCAGTGCTATGCTCAGCTAGACACTGCTGTGTAATGCAATGCTATGGTATGCTGATTCCTACTGTGATATGCACTGACGCGGTTAGCTTTGTCGTGCTATGCCGTGCCATGCCATGCCATGCAACGCTGCGATTCCGCGATAGGCTAGGCGGTCCTTTGCTGTGCACCGGTATGTTTTGGAGGTCTCTTGGGGACCGTTTGGGGTGCTCTTGGGCCCTCTTTTGGGGCCTCTTTGGGGCCTCTAAGGGGCCTCTGTGGGGTCTCTTGGGCTCTGTTGGGGACCTCTTGGGGCCGCCTGTTGGGGCGGAAAGCTAGAATTATTGGTTCGTGTTCCCCCTTTTGGGCCCCTCTTGGGGCCGTCTTGGGGCCCCCTTTGGCGATCTTGGGCGCCTCTGGGGCCGTCTTTCGGCGCTTTTGGGCCGTCTTGGGGCTCTCTTGCGCCGTCGTGGCGCCCTCTTTGGGTGCCTCTTGGGCCGTGTTGACCTGATTTCTGGGGCTGCCTTGGACCGTCGGAAGCACGAAACAGCGAGAACACGAAAAACCTTCACAACCCTAGAAAAACCCATTTTGTTCGCCTCCAAAGTGCCTCGTGGGAGTCCTTCTGAGAGCATCTTGGCCATCTTGAAGCCCTATTGGGCTGTCTTCAAGCCATGTTGGATCAAGTTTGAAACGCTCTTGTGCAATCTTGGGCTCTCTTGGAGCGCTCTTGGGCCATCTTGGCGCCCTCTTGGATGTCTCTCGGCCCCCTTTGATGTTTTTTGGCGCCCCCCGCCGGGCCCGAAACGGCCGGGAGATAAAACTGTGCACCATGGGGGACCCAGGATTACCTACCCATATATATATATATATATATATATATATATATATATGTATGTATGTATGTATGTATGTATGTATGTGTGTGTATGTATGTATGTACGTATGTATGTATGTATGCATGTATGTATGTATGTATGCATGTATGTATGTATGTATGTATGCATGCATGCATGTATGTGTGTGTATGTATGTATGTGTGTATATGTAGGTATGTATGTATGTATGTATGTATGTATGTAGGTAGGTATGTATGTATGTATGTATATGTATATGTATATGTATGTATATATATATATATCACTCACAACACCGACATGTCCAAAGTTCTTGAAGAGAAACAAAAACGTGCTCTGAAGTACTCTGGAACCTAGGCGGTGCTCGCCTCAATGTGGCGTCTCATTATGGCACCACCGCCGATGATCGTGAACGGCTCGGCGCACCACGTAGGGCGGCGAGTCCGCGACCCAGCTCGCCGAGGTGCGCGCCCCTTTCCCCTACCTCTCCCACGACCGCGCCCTTTGCCGCGAGCCGTCTGAAGGGGGGCGCGAACGCCCTGAGGGGGAGGAGCGGGAGGACAAGCGGACGGCATATGGGGCATCGGCAGGGCTCCCGAGGCCAGGAGGAGGAGGAGGGGGGAGGTTCGGAGGAATTTCCCTATCGAACCTTTCTCAAGTTGGCAGTGTGTCCAGGCGGCGGGCGGAAGCCCCACTGATTACGACAAGTGAACCAACCCTTAGATACTCAGAAGTCGAGGTGGCCCCCGTTCCGGCACGCGCTCCAATCGTATGTTCTTCCAACTGAATCAAGCCGTTGTGCTCGTCACCAGTCTTGTGCACTCCATCAGCTGGGAGGGTCGTGTGCTGTTGGGGGCGGAACTCTAGGCTTCGTGAATTTTCCTCAGCCGTCGGAATGTCTATCAAACTACTGCTCGCACCAGTTTGTGATCCATTTGCTGACATAGACTTCAAGCGTCGCATGGACTGGCCGTCCATCTCACAATCCGTCCCAATCTCACCAGCTCGGCTTGCCCGTGTGGTAGTACTGGGGTGGCTCACAGCTCCTCCATCATCGCTTCCATCCATAGAGCTAGTTCGTCCTCCACGAATCTCGCTGGGGCTGGCCCCGTGCATGCCTGCCTGTTGCCGCTGTGGAGCGCGTTCATGATGTGCTGCCTGATCTCCTGGCTGCGGCGCGTGAAGGGGATCTTGCACTGGCCGCTCTCGAAGGTTTTCTCCAGCTTGCACAGCGGGAAGGTGTCGGCGACTTGGTGCTCGTCCATCTGGTTAAGTGCCTGGATCGAGCTCTCGAGGTCCGCCCTGCACTTCGCTCCTATGTCCTGCTTGGCCAACGTCTCCACCATCGCCATGGCTGCTCCAAGTGCTGGGGGGGGGACACTTTTGTGTGATTCTCCTTCTTGGAGGATGGCGCGGGCGTAGCGTTTGTTCTCCGTCTCGATGGCGACGGCCAATGGGTCCTTCTCCTCTGCTCTCACAGTCGTGATGATGCTGCCCTTGGGCTCGCGGATGTTCTTCGCGTTCTGGTAGGTCGCGCGCAGGATGGTGAGCGGCAGGTCCTGCAGTTCGTCATTCATCTGCCTGGGGGCCTGCTTCGGCTTGAACGTTGCTCCACGTCTGCGGCGTACGCGTGCTCCAGCTGCTGCTCCTCGGGTCGAAGGTGTCGCCCTCGTTGGTGTCCTTGGCTGCTGCCTGTCTGGATCCACGGCCCTCGCTCCTCGAGCGCTCGTCGCTCCGTGCGCCTCGCCCGCCATGCCCGGGCGGCGGGGGGGGCGCCGTCGGGGCGCGCCAAGGCGCCTTCGCTGCCACTCCCCCTGCGGGGCATCTCAACATCTGTCGGCGCCGCCGTGTCGGTCGGTGGCTGGTGTCGCGGGTCGTGGGAGGGACAACGTGTGTTCGCCCAGTACGTCTTGAGGGAGATGACTGCGGAGATGAGTCCGAAAGGTGCTGTGCTCCTCGTATGTCTGTTGGCAGATCGGGCATTTGAGATTATCGGGTATGGGTCCGAAGTCTGGTTTAAGTTACGTGTGTGCGCTCTCCAATCTGCCGTGCTATGATGTTGTGCGCCCGTGCGTGGTGGGAACGTAGTACCACATATGGTGCACTCGTTCGTGAGCGTGACCTGTGATAGTAATGGGCACACGTCGTGTTCCCCTCCTGGTGCGAGTCCCCGCTGGCGTGCGTAAAGTGCGCGTGTGCTCTACCACGCTGTTCCACATGCGCGACCTTCTGGTGTCTTTAGCTTGCAGACGAACAGTTCGGCCTATGCGTCAGGGGCAAGCTCCGACGAGAACTCAGCAGCAGACCCTGGTGGCGCAACGGTGCGTCGAAGGTAGGCGGCCCGCATGTAACCCACGTCGACCCCTGCGAAGGCCTCGGCGATGCTGGACTCGGTGACGAGGTCGACGATGCTGCCGAGCAAATCCAATATCTCCAGAGGTTCGGTCACGTCTAGCGTCATCATGTCCTAGATGTCCGTCGCGGACTGCCTGGCGATGAAATGCGCGTCGGGGTTGATGTAGCCGTCGTCGGCCAGCATGGGTGGAGCCACTGGTGGGTCGTGTTGTCGTAGCAAGTGTTCCAGTCGTAGTTCTCCGGATAGTACTGAGACCATGTGCTTGAATTCGTTCGGGTGAGCTGCCGCGCCCTGGAAGAGTTTCAGCCTCCGGATCTTCAGCTCGATGAAACTTGGTACGATTTCCCATCTCCTCCATACTGCTGCAGCGGGAGGAGACGCGTGCTTGTCCTGGATGCGTTGGCAGCCCTTGCCCTGTAG